AAAAAAAAAAAAAAAGATTTATTTGGTATAAGTTCTCTCTACACAACTTGGACTCATAGTGATCCTCCTGCCTCAGCCTCCCTAGCACTGGAATTATAGGCATGTACCACCACTCCCGGTTTCAGTGGCCAGCATGGCACGTGGCACCAGGCATCAAACCCAGGTCGTTGCTCTTATCAGGCAGGCCCTTAGACTGCTGAGCTATCTCCCCCTACCCCTGTAGCCTTAATTCTTTCCTGTCAGGTACTTTCCAGGTAATAGTATGAGAACAATTCCTTCTGTCTCAGTTACTCTTCTCATGTTGCTGGGACAAATACCCAACACCCAAATTGAAGTGAGGAAAGGTTTATTTAACTCACAGTTACTGGAGGTTTCATTCCATACTCAGCTGGGTCTGAGGCAGAGCAGACATGGTAGAGAGCAACCTTTCATGGCAGTGGCAATGAGCAAGAGAGCAAAATGGAAGAGTAGTGGCAGCAGTGGCAACAGAGAGGAAGTCTGTGTCCCTTCAATTGCATTCAGGCTATCTACCCTAGGCTGGGAATCCCAGCAGCACTAAGACCCATATACTACCAGCGAATCATGAGTTAGAATCTCAAATTCTAGAAGTCCCTGCCCCATAACTGCATGAGGCTTTGGGGAGACAGCTAGACACAAACCATACCACCTTCATTAGTGTTTTTTGTTTTGTTTTGTTTTTTGTGGTACCAGAGATCAAACTCAGGACCTTGCACTTGCCAGGCAGACACTTAACGCCACTGAGCTATATCCCTGGCCCCCTTTCATTAGATTATTTTCCACTAAAACACCAAATGTGCATAGTCGTTACAACATGTTATAGTGTTGGACATAGTCATTCAAGGGAATAGGATTTTATTTGGGAGGAGCCATGGAGATTTACTGTAGACCTAAAAATTGCTGAGGGGAAAGAAGTAAATGTTACAACTGCTAAATCCTGTAAGTTAGGAAGCTTTAATGATAGGCAGTGTAGCTTATAAAGCTCTTCTTTTTTTAAGGTTTCTTAGTCTATTATGTGTTATTGTTCAGAATTAAACTTTTTGGCTAGCAAGATAGCTCAGCAGTCTAGCTTACCTGCTTAGGCAACCACAAGGGACTGTGGTTCGATCTCCAGCACCATATGCCATGCCAGTCAAGCTCCAGGTGTGCGCTGAGCTGGCCACAAAAAAAAGAATTAGAAATTCTTGGGGCCGGGGAGATGGCTCAGTAGAATAAGTGCTTGCCTGGCAAGCACAAGGGCCTGAGTTCAATCTCCGGTTCCACCAAAAATAAATAAATAAATAGGGACCTGTGGAGATAGCTCAGTGGAATAAGTGCTTGACAAGCAAGCACAAGGTCCTGAGTTCAATCCCTGCTACCACCAAAAAATGAAAAAATAAAATTATATTAAGTTAGTTACAAATTGCAACTGGAGTTACAGTTGTTTTGCTAAGAGTAGAGATAGGTGTACGGTCCTTCTTTCTCATTTGATCCCTGGGTTCTATATCTGATGGCATATAAATAGCCAGGGAACAGAAGAGAAGGGAGTGAGACGGTGACTGCTGTGGAGATCGCACTTGAGTGGCCAGAGCTGCGTGAATGTGTGCGCCAGGCACTGGTGAGAAGTCCTCAGAACAGTGCGCTGAGTCCTGAGGGAGGAAAATAGCATGCTCTTTCTTGCTTCATGGGAGACACAGAACGTTAGAAGAGAAGGGATCAGTAATCTTCTGGTTGCCAAGTATAGCAGCAATGACTGTTGAAATTGCTGTTTACTTACTGGTTCTTTATAAAAGAAGTGGAGGAAGAGACGGCTCCAGTTCCTTCAGATATTAAATGATTAACCGCTCTCCAGATAGTAAGCCATCACGCTGTCTTTACACAATGATGTCACTGTGTGCTCTTAACTTGCAGGCAATCAGTTGGGTTGAAGACTGAGTAGGTTTTATTTACCAGCCATTGTGGTTTTGCTGGTAATGTTTACAGAGATTATTTTTTCACCTTTATGGCTTCTTAAGGGCCATAAAGTTCTGTAAGAACTCAGCGCTTACTTGCTGTACTGAAAGGTTATTTGCCAGTCATTTGAGCAGTTTCTTCCCACCCTGCCCCCTACACCTTTGCACAGAATCACATAGTTCTTACAACTAAGAGGAAGAAAGGAGGTCTCCCCACAGCACTTGAGGAAGCTTTGATTTGGTTTGATTTGCTTTGGTTTGACTTTGCAAAAGTGGAGGTAGGCGCCGTCCCTCTGAGTGACATCCCCTGCCCTACATGCACATTTTCCTCTCTTAATATTTAAAATGTTTTCGGCTTTCTGCTGAGTCAGACAAATAAGTCAGTTTTTTTTGACAGGTCAAGGTGATGATGTCCTGAAGGGGTCCCAGATCACATATGTTACAGGTGTAGAAGGTGATGATGTGGTGTCTACACAAGTAGCCACAGTAACCCAGTCTGGATTGAGCCAGCAGGTGACACTCATATCTCAGGATGGGACTCAGCATGTAAGTATGAACTCACAGCCAAACAAGATTCTTTCTCTGAACCTGAGCTTGAAAAGCAGTGAGGGGGCTGGTGAGATGGCTCAGTGGTCTAAAGCACCTACTTAGAACAAGCTTAGCAAAGCATAAGGACTGCGGTTCAATCCCCCAGCACCGCATGCCAGCCCGCCCCGTCCCCTGGTGGGCTGAGCTGGCCACACACACACACACACACACACACACA